AGGCCATGTCATGTGACCCAAGTCAGGCCTGGAGATGGGAAATGGGACTAATTCCCTATAGGCTCCTCTTTACTCTGAAAGATTCTGCCCTTGTCATTGCCCAGCTCTCACCTACTGTCAAAGGCCATATACTGTCTTCTCCAGGCTCTTCTAGACCTTAGTGGTCCCCTATTTATATTCATAATATGACAAGATTGGCCAGGGAAGCAGGAATATTGTGAATGGTATAACGTGGGTAGTAGACTAAGCAGCTTGGCCTTTGCATCACAAGCTAGCCCTTAAAGACAGGATCTCTGGATGAGGATAAGAGGAATGGGGAGATCCCATGCACCTGTCCTCGTTTCTTCTTCTCTTATAAGAAGATCCTCAAGGATGCTGGGGTAAATGATGACTCCAATTATCTCTGTGCCTTATCACTGACCCTCAGTTACTTGTGTACTTGGCCCCTTGTCCTTAGCGTAATTTATTTCCATTGGGGTCTATATTTCATTGGATTCTTTAATATAACAGAAACCACACAGCATTACAAGATTTTATCAATTAATCAATCAATCCACAAGCATTTATTAAGCACTCGCTATGTACCAGGCACTGTGCTAAGTGCTGAGGATAAAAAGAAAAAGCAAAAAACAGTCCCTGCCCTCAAGGAGCTTACATTCTAATGGGGAGACAGCATATTTACAAATAGGTATATATGAAATACATACAAGCAGATAACTTTTAAGAGGGAAAGGCAGTAGCATCTGGGAGGACTGGGAAAGGTCTCCTAAAGATGGTGGCATTTGAACTGAGTTTTGAAGAAAGCAAAGGAAGTAAAGAAACCAAGGTGAAGAACATTTCATGGAGCACAGCCATTGCAAAGGCATGGAGATGGGATATAGAATATCAATTAGAAGGGACAATGAGGTGGCTAGTATGATTCAACAACAGAATACACAGAGGGAAATGCTTTGTAAGAAGACTGGAAAGATAGGAAAGGGTCCGGTCATGAAGAGTTTTAAATGCCAAAAAAAAGAATTTATATTTGATCTTCAAGGTACCAGGGAGCTACTGGAGTTCACTGAATGGTGGTGGGGAAGAGGGTGACATGGTCAGACCTATGCTTTAGAAAAATCTCTTTGGCTGCTATGTGGAGGATAGATTGGAGAGGGAGAGATTTGAAGCAGAGCAGGGGTGATGGCCTGAGAAAATACTGAGAAGTGGAAGAATGAGAACAAAGAATAGGGTTAAGGATGATAGTAAGGCATAGGTAGAATGTAAGGAGTAGGTAGTGGGAAAGTAAGGTGAGGTTGAATGATAAAAAATGAAGATCTGGAGTAAATAAGGACCAGAGGGTGTCCCTTCCTTGATCTCTACTATGACAGGCCAATGTGTCAAAGGTCCCACAGGGTTTCCAGCCTTTTCCATGACTGAGATCCCACTTGTAGCTTATTGATACCCAGTCTTCTGATTCATCAGTGTCCCAATCCCTCACAGGCCTCATCTGCCAAGAAGTCCAAGAGCCACCATCAACATTGGCAGAACACTGGCAGTAAAACCATTGTAAATTCCCAAACATGAACACTCTGCATTCTCTTTAGAACTCTGGGGCCAGGTCCTATATGTTAGCTATTCCTCCCAGCTTTTAGCCACAGCAACTACAGTAAACTTAATAAGAACTTAATAAGAATACCCTTGGGTCTCATCTGAAAAACTAGAAGTGCTCTGTGACAGAGGAATATGTCTAAGGTCACAAAATTTCTGGGTTCAAATACCAGCTCTGCCTCTTGCCATCTGTGTGATCTTGAGCAAATGGGTTAAGCAATCTGGATCTTACTTTCTACTGATGTAAAAGGGGTTGGACCAGAGGACCTCTACGTCCTTCTCTTCAGGCTCCATGAGAATCATCTCCAAGATCCTGAATATAAAAATTATATTTACTCTGACCAAAATACCTCCTTGTTTCTCTCTTCCTCTACCCTTATACTAAATATACTCTTTACCCTTGCCACCAGTTATAGTCTCTCCCTTGATTCTTCCTTATCTAATCAATAAACATTTTATACTCTCCCATGGTATCTCTGAATTCTGATTTTAATAACATCTAACTTAATCATATGATCATTGATCTAGAGCTGGAAGAAACCTTAGAGACTCTTGGATTAGACAATCTAACCTCTCCATTTTACAGATAGGGCAACTGAGGCCCATGGAGTTAAGTGACTTGTTCAAAGGTCACAAAGGCAGTAACATCAAAGTTGGGATTTGAACACAGGTTCTCTGTCTCCAGAGCACATACCCTTTCCGCTGGATGACACCACCATCACATCCCCAGTCTTGATGCCATAGTTTGCTGACTAATGATTCACTAGCCACCATCCTGGAATGCTTCTCCCTCCCTTCTTTCCGCCATTTTTGACCTGCTAATCATTACCTTGGGCAATTTCTACCTGATTTTTCCATTCCTGATCAGAGGCAGCTGAGCATGCCTAGAGAAAGTCATAAAATCAAATTAATTTCACTCACTATAAATTATGTTACTGGACCTACAATGCTGCCTGTGGAGTAATCCTTTGATTCCCTATCTTGTTCCCCACGATTGTTTCAAACCCTTTCCTCCCTCCATTCCCCAAAACTTATAGCAAATTACTTGACCTTCTGCTTCACTATGAGGATTCAGGCCACCTGGTGTAAGCCACATGGTATAGTGGAGAGTAGTGGATAGATTACTGATCTTAAAAGTCAAGAAAACCTGAATTCAAATTCTGCCTCTTGTCACTTACTAGCTCTGTGACCATAGGCAAATCACTTAGCTTCTCCGAGCCTCAGTTTCTTCATCTGTAAAATGGGGATAATAATAGCACTTATATTACATGGTTGTTGAGATGATAGCAAAGTACTATATAGATATAAGTTATTACTATCATCTCCATACCTGAAAACATCAGTATCCAATGTTGCTCATTTTCTCCTCCTCTTTTCTTGTCTTAGAGGAAGAGTTATTCCCACCTCTTACTAAGGCTCATCTTTCCTTTTCACCCCCTTCAGGAGCATACTATAAACATTATCAACCTCTGTCTCCAATGTATCATCAAAGTCTCTTCCTCTCCACTGACTTCTTTCCCATTATCTATAAACAAGGCCATGCCTAGTCAGTCCTTAAAAAAGCCTTCCCTCTTCCCCTCTATTTCATCTAGCAACCATCCTCAGTAGAACCTAAGTTCATGAGTTTCCTAGCATACAAAGGGTTGCTATGTGGAAGAAGGATTAGACTTTTGTCTTGGCCCCAGAAAGCAGAACTGGATACAATGGGTAGAAGCTGCAAGGAGCAAATTGAGACTAGCTATAAGAGAGGAAAAAATTCCTACCAATTACAGCTCTCCAAAAGTGAACTGGGTTTCTGTCATTGGTGGCTTTCAGGCAAAGGCTGGATGGATCACTACATGTCAGATATGTTGCCAAAGGACTAGGTGGGAATAAACAGCTTCCACATGTGACATGCTGTGAAAGTTAACCTCCAGCAAAAGTTAATCTCCTTGAGGACGAGGGCTGTTTTATTTTTCTCTTTTCATCTTCAGAACCTATCACAATGCCTTGTACTTAGTAGATGTTTAATACACATTCATTGAATTCAGTCCCATCCCTTTTCTCCACTTCATGGCCAACTTCTTGAAAAAGTAGTCTATAACTTTTTTTTTTAAAAGATGGTCAATGTGGGAATTTGTTTTGTCTATATTTGTAAAACGGGATTTTGTTTTTCTTGATTTCTGGCAGGGGGGAAGGGGTAGGTGGGAGGAAAGATAGATCTTTACTTGAAAAATAAAATTTAACATAAAAGATTTTAAAATAGTCTACATCCAGCGCCTTTGCTTTCATTGCTTTTCTGCAATCTGCCTTATATCAGGGGTGTGCTGGACCCAGCTTGGACCTGTAAGCTGATTGTTAAATTTTCAGCATGAACCTTTACACCTCAGAAATTAGCAAAGGCTACAAATCAGGGCTTGATGTATTTGTTTTGCTGATCATCTAGACTTAAGAGAAAGATGGAGAAAATGTAAATAATGCAGACTCAACTTAAGAGTGTGTCCTCTGGGACAACTAGGTGGCACAGTGGATAGAGCACCAGCCCTGGAGTCAGGAGGACCTGAGTTCAAATTTGATCTCAGACCAAAGACATGACACTTACTAGCTGTGTGACCCTGGGCAAGTCACTTAACCCTAATTGCCTAAAAATAAATAAATGAGTGTGTCCTCAGTACATTTTTTGGAAAACCAGTTTTTAAGCATGTATCAGCACAACCCTGCTTACATCCCCACCACTCTACTCAAACTATTCTCTCAAAGGTCATCGGCAGCTGCCTTATTCCTAAATACAATGACTTTTTTTCTCGGTCCTCTTCCTTCATGACTTTTTGTAGAACCTGACCATTCCCCTGCTTATGGATACTCTCTCTTCCCTTCCTTTCCCTTGGTCAGGAACCCCAGTCACCTGGCTCTCAAACTACTCCTTCACTAGCTTCTCTTCCCCTTCTCAGGTGGCTGTTCCCCAAAGTTCTGTCTCTGGCCCTTCTCTGTTCTTTCAACAATAGCCAACTAACATTTACACCGCACTTTAAGGTTTGCAAAACATTTTACATATTTTATCTCATTTGATCCTCAAAATAACCCTGACAAATAGGTGCTATTATTATCCCCATTTTACAAATGGGAGGGATTAGCACTGCAAGTAAGTGTCTGAGGCTTGATTTGGACGCAGGTTTTCCTGACTCCTGGTCCAGCAGTTTAACACCACCACTTAGCAGCCTCATTCATTCTTTCTCCATGCAGATAACATTTTTCACTATTGCCGTGCTAGCTCTCTGTTGGGGGACCCCTGTAGTAGTGGTCCTCATATTTCCCCCTCCCCGAGGCCAGCCCCTTGCATTGGAGACTCTTCGGAAGCCCCTCCCCTCCCCTGAAGTGCAGGTCTCTCTGCTGGGAGATGCTACTCCCCCCAGCCCACCACGCTTTTTCCTTCTCACCTCTCTTCACATGCACTCTCCTCCTCCACGGTTATCCCTCCTGGCTGGCTTATTCCTGTGTTGCTGAGACCTGGGAACTCAGGAACAAGGTCCCTCCAGCTGGGGACATTGGCTTTGATTCGGCCCTCTCAGGCCACGCTCCTGTGAACTCTAACCCCGGGCTAGTGTGGGCAGACTCGGCAGGGAGCTGGAGACTGGCAGCCTTAGTCACACGACCTGATCAGTGAGCCCCAGGCGAGGGACGTAAAGACAGTGAGCCGCATGATGGGTACCAGGCATCCCCACCGGCAAGGGGCACACACGGGGCTCCTGGAAGTGGCTCAGGTTCACACGGTGACCCAGACTGGATTTGAGGACAGAGGTCCTGGAGGTTCGGGTCCAAGCTCTGCTTATTAGTTGGGTGATCCTGGGCAAGTCACTTAACCTCTCCAGGTCTGTTTCCCTATCTGTAAGGGCTGGATTAAGATGCTCTCTAAGGTCGCTTCTAGCTGTAAATCTCTATCACACACGCACGCAGAAACATGCACCTCGGCCTCAGGGGATCCCCTAAGTGGAAAGGTCGATCTCCCCAAACCCCCCGGTCCACCAACACAGAGACATTAGACGCGTGGGGAGGCAGGCCCAGCTCTTTTCTGTCAGTCCACAGACTTGGGGGTGGGGAGGAGGGGGGAGTGGCGCGTACAGAAGTCAGAGGCGGAACTGCGTCGCGGAGACCCCTGGGAGTTGTAGTCTGGAGGTAGGCCGGTACGTGATCGAAGGATTCTAGGAGTCGTGGCTTCCTTTCCGCGACTCCAGCTCCCAAAAGTCTCTGCGGCGCTGTGCTCCGAGGCCCGCTGGAGAGAGTGGTTGGCGCGGACTTTCCTTTCTCGGGGTTCGGCCGGTTTTGCGGCTCTGGCTTCCCACACCCCGGGCTGTCCATGAACCAGAGCTAAGCCTGGCTTACGATACGATCCGAGCCAGCTTCGGGTAGTGATAAACCAGAGATTTCTCTCTTATTGGATCATCCGGAAGAGAGCAGGCGGAAGGGGGAGGGATGAAGGGGTCCGTCCCGGGACTGGCCTCTGGGGCTGGTGTGACACCTGAGCCCTCGAGGCGGGAAGGGTCCCAGCGTCCGAGCTGGAGGAGACTAGCGATAGCTGCTATAAACCCTTCATTTTACAGATGAGAAAATTGAGTCCCAGAGAGCGGGACTTAATGACGTAGTGCTCGCAGAGGGCACTACCCCCAGGTGTGCTCAACAATTAAACGTTTATTAAGAGATAAAAGTAAAGCACAGGGAATCCGTTGGGATCACAGCTTCTTTTTCAGCATGTTGTTTACTAACTATCTCATTTATAACAATATGTTCTTGATGCAGGATGAAATAAGCAGAATCAAAAGAAAAACATACGCAATGCCCACAACATTGTATATCAAAAAAGATTACTAAAAGCAAACAGATCTTTGATTAATAGGAAGACAAATGCTGGTCCTAAAGAAGTGATAATGAAACTTAGTTATTTAGGGAAGAATGTTGTCCGACTTGCCACAAGTGGCCATCGTCTCGGGTGGGGATTTTTTTTGTTTGTTTTTGTTTTGTTTTTCCTTAATGTGCTTTTCTTTGTAACAAGGTAGGGTACAGTGTGAAGGGGGCAGGTTTTCCTTCCAGAAATGATTGTGATGTAAGGATAAAAACTCACCACTAAGACATTTTTTGAATGAAAAAGAATCTATTCTAGAACTCTTCTAGACAAAGATGTCAACATTCTACCCTGTAGATTCTTCTCTCTTCCCTTTTTCTGAAATTCAGCATGGTTGACCCCCTAGTCCTGCTCTTCTATTTTCTTTGATTTTTAAAGAGCACTCACTTGTTCCTGGTGGCCAGAGCCAATGACTACAGAATCATATCCACCAGTTCTTTCAGTACCCTGGTATGGAGTTCATCTGGACCTAGTATCTCACATTAAGGGCAGTCAGGTGGTCTGTTACATCTCCCTATTTCTTTTAGATTTCAACTCTATTAGTCTTTCTTGTTCTTTCCAGTTCAAGTGTTGTTCTGCTTGGAAGATAAAAGCAAGCTAAGAGTTAAGTGGTTCTTTCTTTTTCACGTGGTCTTTTAACAACTAATTTACCCTGTGCAGCAGTTCTGTCCTTTTTAGTTTTCTCCAGTATAACTAAAAAAAAAGAACCAAAACCCTTTCTGTCATCTTTAGCAACACTCATCTCATTCTGAAGTTTAGCACTCTTGACCCTGTTCTTATCGGATTGTAACGTGGTCCTTCTTTCCTGAAGAAGAAAAGTGAAAGGCCATAATCGGCTGCCTTTTTCCATGCTCTACTGTCTGCTTTTGCTGATCAAAGTAGGCCTTTTGTGTGACATACTGATGCCAGGCTAGAAGGTTTGAGGGCAGTCTTTGCAGAGGATGTCACTGCATGTTCCAGGTGGGGATTCATGGACAGTAATACCCATGAATCCATCCTCCAATTGGAGTTTTTGAGTGAGCTATCACGTAAAAGTAACAGAACTGTATTTAATAGTTTCAGTTATGGACAAACAACAACCTTCTTAACTATATTCTGACAGGTATCAAGGAAGATACTTCTAGGTGAAGATGGATAGCTACCCTGACCAACTATGAATTCAGATTACATTATGGGAAAAAACAACATGGATGCTGAAAACTAATCTTATAGGTCCCTTGCATAGGAGACCATGGTGATTTCCACAATGGGGATAAAGAATCTGTGACTCAAAGAAAGATGGGACATCAATACAAGAAAATGCAGGAGAGTCTGGAACTTCCTCCAGAGATTATGCTTTAGGTGGGAATAAATTACATAGCCCTGAGCTAATTCTTCATTCCTGAAACAGGAATGACTGGTGAGAACCTCAGATACAACATAAGGGCCTACTAGTAGAGATACTGGCCAGAATGACCAGAATTTGACCCTGAAAAAATTATTCCTCATTCACCCAAAGGCAGACTACTTTTGGGATTAGAGCTTAGTAATGCAGTACTCTGTTGGATTATAAGAGAAGTACTTGAAATATAAGAAGGGGATTTGGGCTACCCAAAGTTACTGATGCAATCAATGCCTTCCATGATGATTCTAGTCACCAAGGCTGAAAGAAAACTGCATCTACCAGTCCCAATTGGTAGCTGAGTGTGTTCACAGAAAGCACTGCCGTTAAGAGCCGCTTACCTAGAGAACATAAGCAGCAAAGCTTTGAATCTGGTGTACATAGGTTTCTTCTTTCTGGAAAGAACATAAGTGACATCCTGGTGGGAACTGGCATAAAGACCATCCTACCCAGAATGCATAATCCTATCCAATCAGGAAGCAGAGAGTTTCCACAGTGGCCAAAATGTTTACCCCAGGGCAGCTAGGTGGCACAGAGGATAGAGCCTCTGCCTTGGAGGCAGGAGGACCTGAGTTCAAATGTGACCTCAGACACTTGACACTTACTAGCTGTGTAACTGTGGGCAAGTCACTTAACCCTAATTGTCTCACTAAAAAGTGAAAATAAAATTTTAAAAAATGTTTATCCCTTGCTGTTCAATATCCACAGTGGATCTGTAATCTCACTGATGTATTCCCTCCGTCTATGCTTTCTCACCCTATATGATTATTTTTTCCTATAGATCCTTCATAAAGCATTTACTGTACCTGCCGGAGGACTTCTCTAGATCTTTTTATAGTAAGAAGGTCCCAGTGCAGACCTCAGCCTGTCCCACTGTAATCCTTCAATCTCACTACATGACTAAGCTCACCTCTTTTTGATATCGTATTTCCTTGATAATACGCCTTATGCTACTTCTTGCATAGAAGTCATCCTTTGAAATATATCGCAGCCTACTTATGCCCACCATATGTCTCTCCATTCCCCTTTGGGTCACATGCAATTTTGATCAGAGATAGTAGCATGCCAAAATCCACATCCACACAGTAGAACACTTATGTTTACAATATTGGGTTTTGTGCTTGGTATGACAGAAAATACTGTATAATTTCAAATGGAATCCAGCTTGCTCCCTTCCTTCTGTGCAATCCTGGATCCAACTGTTGCCTATTTGCAACACCTGTAGCAGATAAAATCACTGATGCACTAACTCATCGGAGTGGCCGTAGTCTTGGCAAGATGCATTTTTACTTTATTGAAATTATGTGGCAAGAATGAAAACAGGTAGCAGCTTGAGTGCTTGCCTGGGACCCGTGAAATGTAGAAGAAGGCCTCCAGCATGCTGGCAGGATCCTCTGTGGAGGGCAAATGGAAGAACATGAAGTCCAATAAATATACAGGATGAGAAGATGTAAAAGGATGCAACCTGCATCAATTAAAGGAAAACCCATATTGACGTGGCAGATCTGTTAGAATATTCACTTTTTCTTTTGTTGGCTGCTATTACTGAGTTTAGATCTTTAGTGTTATTTCACATTTTCATTCATTGATCCTTTATCTTTTGCTGTCCTTTCAAAAAAATTCCTGTATTCCTAATATATCAGTATTAAATATTTAAATATAAGTATTCTAATAATTTCCTTAATTATTTATTAACCAGTTTATTTTGGTGTTTTGGCATTTTGTGCATCATATCCAGTGAAGTTTCAGCTTGCATTTCTAGAGAAATTTTGTCACTTGGATTTTTAGATATTATCAAACTTCTTTTTAGCATCAAAATTTTGCTTTAATTTACTTATCTTGATTAAATGGAGGCCATGACAGAAGGGGCTGGTCTGGCAAAGTATCCTGGGTAGAAGTTGTGGTTGCAGACACCTAGACATAGGATAAATTCTGCAGATGAAAGCTGCCATCTTTCCTCAAATTCCACACTAGGGGCAAGGGTTTCAGCCTCAAGGACCTAGCTAAGCTTGGTAAATGGAGGTAACAGGGCTGGAATCTGCCACTCTGGATGTGGATCACCAGTTATGCTGCCTGACAGCTAGTAGAGCCTAAAGCTGTAGTGGTAAATGGTTGATCTGGTGGCTGCAGGCATCTGGAGCTATTGAGTTGAGTAGTCGATCTATTAAAAAATAACCACACTATTTTACTCGTAATGAATGAAGATGATCAAATGTTAGAATTGGAGAAGGAGAAAAGCACTAGGGGCCTCAGTGAGATAATGAAATGTGAAAAGTCTTTGAACAATCTTACATGTCCTATTCAGATGTAATGTTATAATAACAATGATGAGTCTAATCCCGTGTACCAGACCACCCCCCCCAAACCCACCCCCCCCCCCCATCCCAGCCCCACTTCCAGTTTTAATCTTCTGGAATTCTGACACAGTGAGCCAAAGCTAAGATATAGGAATAGAGAGGGCAGGGCCTTGGGTCTCTCTCTTAGATCTAATGGGCATTAGTAATGGGAACTGGCACCCTCTCCTGGACTGGTCTCTTTTTCTCTGCCATTCATTGGGCGTAACAATATTTTTTGGTGACATTTTTTGAAGTGTTGAAAAACTGAGAATGTCTTCCAGCTTTAAGCACTTCTGGTTGCTGTAATAATTTTCTAGTGTGCTCTGTCCACATCTCACCATTCTGGGTCCTGTCCTCACCTGCTCCCGCCCCTGCCCCCATCTCTGTAGAATCTCAAGGAAGATGTATCCCCCCCATAGGTTGGACATATGGATAGTGCTCAGAATTTGTA